CTTCCTTCCTTCCTTCCTTCCTTCCTTCCTTCCTTCCTTCCTTCCTTCCTTCCATAGGATTTCTCGGTGTAGCCCTGGCTGTTCTGGAACTTCATCTGTAGACCAAGCTGACCTCAAACTCAGAGATCTGCCTGGCTCTGCTTCCACTGTCCAGCTAACTAAATCTATTTACTGTGTGTGTCCTTTTCACTGTCATAAAGTAGGATTTAATATGACATTTTCATATTTATTTATTTTATTCGTTTTTTTTTTGTTTTTTGTTTTTTTTTTGTTTGTTTTTTTGTTTTTTTAAAGACAGGGTTTCTCAGTGTAGCCCTGGCTGTCCTGGAACTCACTCTGTAGACCAGGCTGACCTCAAATTCACAGAGATCCACCTGCCTCTGCCTCCCAAGTGCTGGGATTAAAGGGATGCACTTTTTATACATTTATGCATATATGTTTTTCATATATTTGCATGATGTAGGTTGATTATGCTGACTTCTTATTGCCCTCTTTGGCCCCCTTCCCACTCTTTTGGATCCTCTTCTACTGTCACATCTTTTAAATGGTCAGAGGATCATGAGCACTTGTTCACAGGACCTTGGGCACTGCAGAAGATATGTTTCCCTTTCTCCTCAGCCATTAGCTGTATACAAATCCTCAGAGACGGGTGGAGCCTTGTGACTTCCTTCCCTTCCCATGATGAATGTTGATGGGTTTCATCACCCAAGATCACAGCTGCTGTGGGTTAAGAGTGCCGTGGAAGTCAGCACCCACAGTCCTCTGTCCTGTGTACCCCCACATGTCTCTCTGGATCTTACACTCTTTCCACCCCTTCCTCTGTAATGTTCCTGAGCTGAGAGGATTCAGTGGGGGGCTTTGCACTACTGAATGCCACTACATGTATTTATACAATATTACATTTATTTAAGCACCACATGTGTAAGTGCCTTTGTGAGTGTGGGCACATGCACCTATGTGCACATGTGAGGAGGTCAGGGGAGAGCACATGTATCTTCCTCTGTTACTTTTTATCATATTTCTTGGAGGGTGGAACTCCCATGAGCCTAGGCCTGGTTCAGTTGAGAGCTAGGGATTCCCAGTGTTCCTCATATCTCTGTGTCATTTTCCCCATCTCAGCACAGTGGTCACAGGCGTGTGTGGCAATGCCCAGTTTCTTATGTGGGTGCTGGAGATTCGAACTTAGGTCCCCAGGCTCACACAGCAAGTGCGATGGCTTGATGGCTTTACCAACAGAGCTGTCTCTTCAGCCTGGTTTATTCTTTTTACAGATTTTTTTTTTTGGTTTTTCAAGACAGGGTTTCTCTGTGTAGCTTTGCGCCTTTCCTGGAACTCATTTGGTAGCCCAGGCTGGCCTCGAACTCACAGAGATCCACCTGGCTCTGCCTCCCGAGTGCTGGGATTAAAGGCGTGCGCCACCACCGCCTGGCCTTTTTACAGATTTTAAAACTGTTTTGGCCTGCAGAGATGGCTCAGTGGCTAAGTGGCTGCTCTTTCAGAGGTCCTGAGTTCAATTCCCAGCAACCACATGGTGACTCACAACCATCTATAGTGGGATCTGTTGCCCTCTTCTGGCATAACATTATACATGCAGATAGAGCACTCATCCATAAAATAAATACATCTTTAAAAAACAAAAACAACAAAATGTTTCATATCCACAGACCACTGTTGAAAGAGATTCAGGACTACTTCAATGTGAGTTTCATATATTAAATATATAATCTATATTTGTTTTAGGACCTGTAGACAAACTTCTTGGCTTTAATTTGTAGCTCACAGAGAGACACCCACCTCTTACCCACAGCTGTTAGTCATTGGCCTCTTAGTATATGCTTGTTTTTATAGATGTACAAACAAAATCACACAATATAAGACACAAATTAATAACTATCTTCATTTAATGCTTGCTCCTATGTAATTAAATACTAGCCCTGAAACAGGATTAATGCCTTTCTTTCTGTCTTGTTTTTAAACAGCTCAGTCGCTGAAAGAATTCGCGAGGCTGCTTATTGCCGTAGAAGAGGAAAGGCGTAGGCTGGTAAGTTTGTTCCTTATGTCTTACGAATCCTGCTATGTTTGTATTCTCCAGAAGAAGGAGCAAATTTGAATTAGCCACAGAGTAAATGTCACATGTAATTTTGAAAGGTATGTGGCTGTAACTAGCTTTAAAGAAAAATCTATGGGGGGAAACTGACTAATAAAGTCGAATAAAGACTGTTAGCATGAGACTTTGAGATGGTGACACTGAGTGGGGTCATGAGAGCCAGGAGGACTTTGCTAGTTGGGAAAAATAGGGTTAAAACATTTCTAGGCTAATAGGTTAGGTTAGGTAAAATATTAGAGCACAATTATTGGTAGTGCTTTTTTTTTACTCAGAGTATAATTTGCCTGGGTGTGTGACTCTAATCCCAGCACCCAGGAGACAGAGGCAGGCAGATCTCTGTGAGTTAAAGGCTAGCTTGGTCCACATAATGAGTTATAAACCAGCTGGAGATACATAGTGAGACGCTGTCTAAAAAATTAAAAACAGACAAAACAAAAAACAAGCCAAAACCACAAAAGAAACTAAATATAACTTTTGGGTGCTGGAGAGTTGGATCAATGGTAAAGGGCATTTGTAGAGGACCCAGATTTGGTCCTCATCACCCACATGGTGGCTCACAACCATCTGCAAACTCCTCCTGGGAACAGCATGTAACAGCACACAGGTAAAGCCATGGGACATGTGGCAACATATAGATGAACAGAAATGGGCTGAGTTTAAATATAAGAGCCTCCACAGGCCCTGCATGTACATTGTGCACAGACATGCATTCATTAATATGGACATTTCTGGTATTTCTGTAGTTAGCTTTTTTAAACAATGGATTGGAGGCTTATTATTATTGTTACTTTTACTGTTTGTGTGCACACGATGTATGTATGTATGTGTGTGCTGTGTGCATCACAGTGTTCGTGTGGAGGTCAGAGGACAACTTTGTGGAGTTGGTTCACTCCTTTATGTGACTTTTGGCGATCAAATTCAGGTCCCCAGGTTTGTGTTGCAAGTGCCTTTAACCAAGGAGAGACTTGACTGGCCTCCAAGTTAGCCATTAGAAATAGGCTTTAGTGTAAAGGCAATTGTATCTGAAAGTTTTCTCTTGACCTGCCCAGCCCCACGGACCCCGCAGCCACTTATAAAATAATCACTCAGAAGCTTATATTAATTAAAACTGCTTGGCCTACCACTGACTAGCTCTTATATTTAAACTCAGCCCATTTCTGTTAACCTGTATGCTGCCACATGTCCTGTGGCTTTATCTATGTGCCGTTACATGCTGCTCCCTGGATGGTGGGCTGGCATCTACTGACTCAGCCTTCCTGTTCCCAGAATTCTCCTCATCTGTTTATCCCACTTATACTTCCTACCTGGCTACTGGCCAATCAGCATTTTATTTATCAACCAATCAGAGCAACACATTCACAGCATACAGAACATCCCACAGCACCTCCCCTTTTCTGTCTAATCAAAAAGGAAGGGTTTAACTTTAACACAGTAAATTACATATAACAAAACAGTAATCAAGTAAGAACTACAGTTATAATATCTAGTCTATTTGTATTTGGCAAAATTAAAGAAAATATTCTATCTATCCTTTATTTGTGAGTTTAAAGTTTTATATCTAATTTATATTTTATCACAACCAAGGAAAATTATAATTATCTAGTCTTCAACTACATCAGACCCCAGAAGGATATAATATTCCCTAAGTAAACAGGAAGAGCATTGTAAGCAACACCCAAAAATTTAGAATGACACAGACAACTGTCTGCCTAGATAGTCACCCAAAGTTCCTCTGTAATGTTGGGGCATCCATCTTCAGCCCATAGGCCTAGAGTCTCTCAGTTGCTTCTCCCTGTGTTCTGTAGAATGTCTGGCAGTTTCCTCTGTGAAGCAGGAATCTGAAGAACCATTTTGCCTTGCAAAGTTCAGTTGTCACCTTCCTGTGGGTCCTGCATGTCCAGTTGATACAACATTTTGTCAAGTAGTACAGGCAAAAACAGTTTCTTGCCCAAATGGCTATTTTTGCCAAGAAGAAGATAAACTCCATATAGAGTATCTTTGATGCCCATCTTTCTCTTTGAAGTAAATTGGTGCTGTCAGGAGCAGACGTGTCTCACTGTCCAGAAAGTCTAAGTTTTTAAAGCATTTTAAATGTCATATTCTGTAGGTCTTTGAAGTGTTTGAAGATTACCCACCTAACTGAATTATATCTATGTATACCTAGAAAATTTAAAAAGACTATAAGTTTGACTATCATAGAAGACTAATTATTAATCTGTATTTCTTAGTTATCTATTACAATTTAAATGAATTACATAAACATAATACCTTAAACAAGAGTAGAAATATACATACAGTATAACAAAATTAACTTTAAATTTGCATCAATAAACTAAAATCCATAGCAACATAAAACATTTTTAAACAAGTTGTTGCTCTTTAAAAGTAGGTTCATTAATCTACCCTTTCATCCTATCATATCTATATCCTATATTTCTGTATCAGACAATGACCTCAAGAAATTTACAGGCAAATGGTATGTACTAACTTATAAGTAGATATTAGGAATAAAGTATAGGATAACCAACCTACTACAGTCCACAGCCCCAGAGAGGCTAGATAACAAGGAGGACCCAAAGAGGGATGCATAGATTTCCCTGGGAAGGGGAAATAGAAGAGATCTCCTGGGTAAACTGGAGGTGGGGGTGGGGGTGGTGGTGGGATAGGGTGATAGAAACATGAGGGATCCGGTTGTACTGGCTGGTGTGGTACAGAGGGGGAGAGTAATGAAAGAAATGTCTTGATGGGGTTGGGGTTAGGGAGAAACCTGGTGCCAGGGAAACTCCCAGGAATCCACAAGGATGACCCCAGCTGAGACTCCTAGCAATAGTGGACAGGGTGCCGGAACTGGCCTTCCCCTGTAATTAGATTGGTGACTACCCTAATTGTCATCATAAAAACTTCATCCAGTAACTGATGGAAGCAGATGCAGAGATCTACAGCCAAGCACTGGCATTGGGCCGAGCTGACTCGAGAGTCCTCCTGAAGAAAGGGAGGAGGGATTATAGGAACCAGGAGGGTCAAGGTCATGACAGGGGAACCCACAGAGACAGCCAACCTGAGCTACTGGAGCTCACGAACATTGGACTTAGGGAACCTGCATGGGACTGACCTAGGCCCTCTGCATATGTGTGACAGTTGTGTAGCTTGGTCTGACTGTGAGGCTCCTAGCAGTGAGGTCAGGACCTGTCCCTGGTGCACCTAGCTGACTTTTGGGAACCTATTCCCCATGCTAGATTACTTGGTCCAGCCTTGATACAGGGGAGGAACTTGGTCCTACCTCAACTTGATGTGCCATGCTTTGTTCATACCCACAGGAGGCCTGACCCTTTCTGGATGGAGGAGTGGATGGGGAAGGGGTAGATGAGAGGGAGGTGGGAAGGAATGGGAGGAGAGGAGGGAGGAGAAACTATGGTTGGTATGTAAATTATAGAAAAGAAATAAGCTTTAGATATGCAAACCTCTATACCAACACTGTAATGAAATTTTCCTGAAATTAAAATGCAAAGAATAAGTTTTTCAGTGTCCTGTATGGATAAAGTTCTGTCTTTTGTCTACATCACATTGTGGGTGCTTGTTATCTCCTGACTGTTATCTGGAGAGACAAGAAGGCTGCCTTGAGGGGTGGTACATCACCCTCAATCCATCACAACTTCAACAGTGGTAGTTCCTATTGCTTGTTGACATTTATCTCTGTCACTATGACAAAACACCCCAACAAAAAGCACCTTAGAAGATGAAGGGCTGATTCTGACTTACAGCTCCAGAGGAGATACAGTTTTAGCACTAGCTTGGTCTATCAGTGAGCATTGCCACACCAGATGTGTGTGTGTGTGTGTGTGTGTGTGTGTGTGTGTGTGTGTGTGTGTCCGTGTAGATGCTCATTTGCTCACAGATCTGATTTCCTTGATATGACCTTATTATTCCTATAGCCTCTCTCAGTTCCAGTTTATAAACTAGCACCTTTCTGCTTGAGGAACTAGTCACTTATCAGGTAGTGCCTTGTGGGTGGCGCCAGACATGTGACATTGTTCATATGTGTTCCTAACTAACTGCAGAATCATCCTCCATACTCCAAACCAAGTCAGATGCCGCTTGTAAACCGGAGTGTCTCAGGTTGAAGCACTTTCTGAGCAAACCACTGTTTTACATACCGTGGAGTGACTTAGATGACGGCCCAGCCTTAGTGTAACAACTTCCGGCTTCCTGCCCTCCCTCCCTCCCTCCCTCCCTCCCTCCCTCCCTCCCTTCCTCCCTTTTCCCCTCCCTCCTTTCTTTCTTGCTTTGGTAGAAGTCCTTACTCTAGAGAGCAGGAAGGATGAGAGCATTTGCTAGGATTTGGGGAAATATTTCAAAGTATTCATATTATGGAAGACTTAAGACTCATAATGACAGCTAATAGTGTGTTAAATTCTAAAAATACTTCCGAATAGAAATTGTAGAGTGGTCAGTCAGTGAAGCCTGTCTTGGCACATTGCTGGCCAAGCATTTCGCTGCCCATTTAACAGTTCTGCTTTGGATTGTAAGAAAGGCAAGTACGGGAACATAAGGCCAACAGCTCACGGTGTATTCCTTGCTAGCTTTCAGAAGAATGTTTGGAAAGTTGTCCTTTTCCTCTCTAAAACTTGGGTAATATGTTGTTAGATATTTTTCTGTTCATGATAATCCACAGAAGATTAAGCTGGTATTAACTTTAAAATATATTTGTACTGCAGCATTCTGTTTTCAGGAAGGTTCCAACATATTTTTCCTTGTGGTTGACATCATAAAGGTTGTTATTTTCATGGTCATATATAAAATCACTGGACTTCAAGATTTTTAAGTGGATACATGAAAATAGACACCTAATCTTTCTGTACCTTCCTGTATCCCAAGACCTATTTATTCAGTCTATTGATTTACAATTGTTGACTCTCAGGAAGGATTTTAAGTCA